AAAAAAAAACTATTGAAAATATTAAGGAAGAAGAGAAAGAGAAAAACCAGGGTGGATTTTTGTGATAGCTCAGTGAACTACTAGGTATCTGTCTTTCTTCATCAGCTGAAATTTCTAGATGCAAGATTCAGATTTTAGGAGTAAAGCTCTTAAGAAAAATCTTGAAAATGGATGTTATTTTCTCAACTTCAGGGCAGGGTTTTGCTGTAGCTCATGATTATCTAAGGAACACTGGTCTATCTATAAGTATCTGGCTTCTGGCCCGATGTATGCAGACTGTTCTTGAGTTTATCTTCCAGAACCAAACCTTTCATGACCCAGGAAGATAATCCAAGACCAGGTACTGAGGTTTAAAAGATGCTGTTTTTACAGACCTGGAGCTTCCAAAGAGTGATTCTTAAGAATCACAACTTTTAAATCATTCCATATGCCCTTTTCACAACAGCAGAGTGAACTGTGGAACTGGAATTACTCAAAAATAATATGTAGATAAGGATCACAACCAGATTGAGCCCTGTAATTCATTGTTTTCCACAATTGCTTCTCTTTTTTTTTTTTTTTTTTTTGAGTTCTGCCATTCTATTGCATTGCCCAAAAGCTGGTCATTTTTGGAATGGTCACATTCTTTCATAATTTTTATTGATATATAATTCACATACCATAAAACTCACCCATTTAAAGTGTACAATTTAGTGGGTTGTAGTATATTCACAAACTTGGGCAACCATCCCCACTATCTAATTCCAGAACATTTTCATCACTGCAAAAAGGAACTCTGTACCATTAGTATTCACTCCCATTCACCGCTCCCCATGGCCTCTGGCCACCACTCATTGCCTTCTATCTCTCTGAACATTTCATATAAATGGAATCACACAATATATGGTGTGATGTATTGATATACATTGAATGGTATTGAATGGCCTCATTTTACTTCTGCTGTTCATATTGATAAAATGTTTTTGGTGTTTTTGTTTTTTCCTCCATAATGGAAATTTCCATTTTATAGGGGGTATGTATAGGCTTGTGTGTTTATTTTGTTTTGCTTTAGTTTTGGTCACCAAGCATCTGTTTCCCCTTCGGGCAATACTGCTCTGATTTTCTTTAGGGGACTACCTCTTACCCTGAAATGTAGGTAGCACGTGTCTTGGCCATCTTTGAGAAAAATTAGCCTGCCCTTCTCCAACCACAGGGTAAACATATGTGCAGGACATCTTCTGTTTGCTCTTCCAGGTCTATTCTCTTTCTCAATTCTGTTTTCTGCGAAGTACCCCCTCCCCACCTTGAACTGGTCTGTAAAGACCATATCGAAGGGCAACTCTACCATATAGCTTCTGATTACTCTCACCCCAACTATCTAGTTTCCAAAGCTTTCCAAAAAGCTTCTTTAGCTTTCTATTCTATGTGTTCTCCACATAATTTCAATAAATTCTCTTTTTTGCTCAAGTTAGTTTTAATCCCAATAACACCATTTAATACAAATCTCATCTATCAAGAAAGGATCAGGGCGCCTGGGTGGCTCAGCTGGTTAAGCGACTGCCTTCGGCTCAGGTCATGATCCTGGAGTCCCTGGATCGAGTCCCGCATCGGGCTCTCTGCTCAGCAGGGAGTCTGCTTCTCCCTCTGACCCTCCCCCCTCTCATGTGCTCTCTCTCATTCTCTCTCTCTCAAATAAATAAATAAAATCTTTAAAAAAAAAAAAGGATCAACATGGCATGAGAACACATGTACACTATTTAGTTATGGTTCTAGGGAGTAATTATAAGCATCCTTTGGAAAGACTGAATAAAAACATTACCATTACTCTCTCTTACAAAGAGGCTTAGGGCACAAGTAATTCAATGTGTTGTCATGGGACAACCTACAGCTGAAATGATTTTTTGTAAAATAGTATCTGGATTGGGAGAATGGTCCGATTTCAGAAAGAATGTTATTTTTCTCTTAAGAGAAAAAAGCATACCACTGTTTTGGTTTTTTTTTTAATTAATTTCCTAACTTAGGAAATTTCCAAAACAAAGAGCTGGCCAAAATGGAACATATGGGTGCCCAATTTACAGTTTTTTTTTTCTGTAGCAACAATAGACTCAATTTTCAAAAGGCAGAACAGCTCAAGATTGAGAAAGTATGCTCTTTCATACCTGATCTTATCCATTATCTTCAACACCTTTTGCTCGGAACATTTATTGTGGTGTTATCAAAAGCATGCAAATATGCAGACCTATAAATTTATAGATCATACCGAAGCATGCTGCCTAATATCCACCCAAATAAAGTAAAGAAGAAAGTCCTCCTGTTATTCCATTTAAGTAAGGGCTGACATTTCATCCATGAACTTTTCTTATCAATCCTAGGTTCCTAGAGTCAGCCTGTGTATATCATGAAGTGCTCCTATGAATTAAAACGTTAAGGGCAGAGCATCAGATTTACACTGATTTACATCTGATATTGATTTTTGTGAATGTTGGTTAGATTACAGGTGTGCTATAAGGTCAAAGGACAGAGAGGCTCTATCATACCTATCTTCTGACTTCATCAAGACCTGACCTCCCCACCAAAGGAAACATTTAAAAACAGAAAAAGACCAAGGAGGCACTGCTTTAATCAAAGGGTCTTATCTTTTCTGAAAAGGATCCACAGAAACGCAGTACCTGTTTCACCCTGGATGGAGATGGGTGGGGACTGGGCAGATGGGGGTCAGGGATGGGAGGAGGCCCTCCACTTTGTCTTTTCATGCATTTTGATGGTAGAACCATGTGAATGTATTACCTATTCAGAGTTTAAATAAACACAATATAAAAATTTTAAAAAACAGCCCCCCCCAAAAAAAACCCCATAGGGTCTTCTCACTGTTAATACTACTATGAAAATTTAGATTTTGATAGTTATGGTAAAATATTATTTGAAACAGACTTTGCTTCTTGATAAACACAGTTTGTGCCTTATATTACAGAATAAAGACAGAGAAGGAGAAAAGACTGAGGGCTGTCATTTGATGTGGCAGTTTGAGATTTTCCAATTGCAAACACTAGTAATCCTTGTTGACATATTTAGTACAAAGTATGAAGGACTTAATCATTGTAGAGTTCTTTATAATCACAATTTAACTATCCAACCCAATTTCTTTCTCAGGGTAGGCCTAAATCATTTCTGGAATGTTAAGTAATATAAAAAAGAGTTAACTAACTTATTAAGATATAAGATCAAAGCAATGACAAAAATTAATTTAAAGTAACATCTAAAAATTCTTAGCTTACAGACCCTCAGTTTAAAAGATCAGAACTTGATATTGTCCAATTTCATTTTTATTTTCAAGATAAGGAGAATTTTTATATGTAAGGAAGGTGGGGGACTCTCTTGGCACTAGTTCTTGTTGGCTATTACATATTACCTATTTGGTTAAAACTTCACTCAGACAGGGATGCTGTCTTTCTTGAATATTAATACTCCTGCGATGCTTTATGTGCTGACGCCTAAATGGAATTTAATCTCATGGCATTATCGCTTGTCGTTCTTTGTAAGAGTTCCTATTGAAAAGCTGCTACCAGGAGTTATCATGGAAACCCCATTGTGCTGCATGGCCACCTTATTACTTATTCTGTCCAAGGAATGACGCGACTCAGAGGCACAGGGGGGCAGGTGTCCAGATGAAGGGGGCCTGCTTCACTGCGAACTGTCGGGGCAGGGCATGCCAAGCACAGCTACAAGGAACAGGGAATTCTGCAGCCCATGTTCTTCTCCGTCACTTCATCATCACTAGGGAATGTGTATAAACTGAAATCAAATCGGGTCAGGATTTGATTTCAATTGCGGATTCTCTCCGACATCGTCAAGGAGGTTTAAAATTATGGCTGCTCTAAACATTGGTCAAGAATGTGTGAAATGTTTAAAAGAAGGAAGTTTATTTCTTCTCCCTTGGGGGGATAAAGGAAATGAAAATGGATTAAAGAGTTCTCCCACTCTCTCAGAGCTTAACACTAGTTATTTTCCAGTAAAAAGATGTTTGAAAAGCATGATGCTTTGCTTATAGTCAGCTGGTCTGTATCTCTATCAATGGGCTATACTTGTCAATATTCAACTTTATATCATTCCCTTCTGGAAAAGCATTATTACTCTAAGTAAACCCTCCTAGGGAATCAGCATAAGTGGACCACATATCAAAGGTCCAACCACAAGGAAGTAGAAAAGAATCAGATCAGACATACAAGAAATCACGTGTTTGGAAGCATTGTGCGGTTGCTTCTCCATGACACTGATATTTAACAGCATCAGCATCATGTTACTATGGCCGTAGTAACCATGGAGGAAGTCGCCCCAATTCCGTGGACCCATAAAATATAGGAGGCTTCTGTTAGCCAAAGATAACCAGTACTGAAGATGGCTGGGGAAATCGAGTACACTTAAAAATGGAAATCAAGGGCGCCTGGATGGCTCAGTTGGTTAAGCAACTGCCTTTGGCTCAGGTCATGATCCTGGAGTCCCGGGATTGAGTCCCGCATAGGGTTCCCTGCTCAGCAGGGAGTCTGCTTCTCCCTCTGACCCTCCCCCCTTCATGCTCTTTCTATCTCATTCTCTCTCACAAATAAATAAATAAAATCTTAAAAAAAAATGGAAATCAAAAGGCCATAGTAAATAATGAAAAAAGTTAGATTGAGACTTTATTCTAAAAGACAAAACTAGCACCTGTAGAAGCAAGTTTAGGAATTAACAAAATATTGGTTATAACTGAAATTCATGTATGAGTTCTCAAAATGAACAAAGACTAAACCAAATAGGATTTCTGTGGAGGAAAAGTAAAATTTTTCCAACAAAATTATATGATAGCTTGATGTCCTTTACTTTTTATTTTCACAGCATAAGTAAAAAGACAGCCTTTTTGCAAATGCATTTGCAAACCAAAGACCTCACCTAGGATTTTTTTTTTGGTCATTTAATCTTTTGATTTTCAAATCATTCTCATTTGAAACACTTATCAGGAAATCATCCTAATTCTTCACACATCGCTAGAAAACCGCAATCCACGCTTAGTTGTGCACCCAGGGTTCTCCAACACCATCCCCCTAACTTCATGTCATCCTGTGTCTTTTGCAAAACTTGCGGTTTTGTTCTGTAATCAATTTGTTCAGTATCCAACTGCCTGGGGTACAGATGGACAAACAGGAGTACATGAAGGCATCCAATGAGAAGGAACACTTGAGTAAGGACCAGTTTTAAAAATGGTCAGGTTCTTAGCAGATATTTCTGTGTTATGATGATGTTTGCTTTCCTATATAATCTCATTTCTGTGGAGACTGAAATAATGAAAAATTCAGATTATGAGGACCATTTTTAAACCTATTTTAAATTCTTTTAGACTGAAAGTCTACCAAATGATAATCTAATTAGAACCTCATGCAAGACTCAGAGCACATAGGAGGTCCTACTGAATGAATCATTAACTTATATCTGAAACAAAGAATCTGGAAATTTTAATTTGGGGAATTCTAAAGTTTATTCTTTTTTTTTTTTTAATCTGTTTCAGGGAACAACAATGAGGCCTTAGTTAGTTACTAAACAGGAATTAAGCAGTGTCTCCTTTTTTCAACTAAATAAAGCACTGAAGTATAATGAACTTTTAAGAGCATTTCCTCATATATAGGAATTCTCATTTCCTTTGTACTGAGACTACTGAGGTACTGAGAGTAGACTGAGCTAGCATCTCCTAAAATAGTGTAAGACTCTACATTACAGATATTCCCTAAACATTTGTGTCTATGACTACCAGTCCAGTTTCATAGATGGATGACTTTAAAAAATCTCTCTCACACGTAAAGAGGATATATATGAATTTAAATAATTTGTGACAATTTATTCATTGAATTGTATTCTTAGAGGATATAGGACTTGGCCCAAAGAACATCTATAAATTATAACAACATTTATTTGCAATAGAGTTGTAGGTTTACCTGAGATTGTGCATTGACATTGGCTCCATTTGTAACTAAGACTTTTACCACCTCCGCTTGCCCAGCCAAAGATGCTATATGCAAGGCTGTGTTTCCTTTCTGTAAAATGAAAAGATACATCAACTCACCCTCTTTATATTTCTCTATTTCAACATTTTATAAAATATGGAATCCCTCCACGTTTATAAGTTTCCCAAAGAGAACATGGTTGACAAGTATCTCATGAGAAGCTTGCCCTGATTCTTATCGAGGGCTGAATCCTCACTGAATTTGTCAAGTGACATAAAAAGCATTAAATGTGGGATACTGACCTTCGTAGCTGCATCCACATTGGCTTCTCTCTGTAGCAGTTCAGAAACAACTTCTACATGGCCTTCTTTGGAAGCAAGATGGAGAGCGTTCAACCCGTTCTGATTAAGAGTGAAGGGAAAGCTTTACTCAGCAGGTTGAGAATAGAGCAGCAAACTTTAGTCTACTTAGAACTCTGAAGATCATAATCCACCAACAATTACTTGTATGTGTGCAGTGCTGAAACTTGAATTAGGAATAAAGGTAGTTAAAATTTAGGTGGGTTGTTCTGGTATCATTATTTACTAAATTTTAGGAATTATTAAAGGACGCCTACCTGCATTTCTGAATGCTCCTTTAACAAAGCAGAGTCATTTGAAAATATGAAAAAAAAAAAAAAACAACAAAAAACAAAACCACCCAAACTGGCAAAAAAAAAAGAAAGTCTTGGTAATAACTAATGAAAGATTCAAGGAGTTTATAGTCTGGATGTTTAAAATTTTAAGTCAAAAATTAAACAGCAACAATAACCACAACTAACCTGATTGCAAATGTTGATGTCAACCCCATTTTTTATGTAGTCAAGGGCCTTTTCTAGGTGTCCAGCTCGAGCTGCTCTTAAGTAACTTGCATTGGCATCAGACTAAAATAAAAAAGAAGGACATTTTGATGAAAAATGAAACTCATAGACATGTTAGAACTATTCAGCTTATACTCCAAACTAAAAAGAAAGATTTTTAAATTGAACTATTATATTTCTAACATGAAAATACTCTTAAAGGTCTTTGTAAAGTCACCAGGAAAAGGACAAATTCTTGAAAAGTTAGTTTCAAGTGTACAAAATTACCCCTTGTGTGATGTCATAACCGATCCTGAACTGAAAGAGAAAATTTCCCATACCATGTAGGTACCTTAAATCAACATACGATTCCTGGAGAGTAAAGAGCAATCCCATTAACTTCCTGGTGGTCTGATTATGAAAATCTCACTATTCTGTTTTGTCAGAAACTTCACATCTATTCCATTCTTTCATATTTAACTATTATAAACAATTTTTCAATTCATAGCTTCACAAATACATTTAATGTTGTTATACTAGTTTAACAGGAATTTGGAGATGTTCTCTTGGATTTTCCTACAGCCCATAGCCATATGTTGGAACACAGAATGTATTTGAAAAACATTTATAAATGTCTACCCAAATTGTGAAGCATACTTTCCATATATTTTCAAGCAAGCTAAGGTCACCACCTGAGAAAACTCTATTAGGAGCATTAGCAGGAGCAAATAAATAAATACATACAAATTTAAAAACAACAAACACCAAATCTGTAATTCATTCACCAAAAACTTACAACTCTTGCCTTTCTGCTAAACTCTAGTACCTACGATTGCGGGGTTGAAACCACCTACTAGTGAAATCTTTAACAGAAAGGAAAGACTTCAAAGTTGGATCTGCACAATTTGGAAAGGAGTCCTGATCCGTGTAGGACACCACAGAAGCAGGTTTTCCTGAAAGGGGAGCCAAAACCATCTGCCGCTAGTTATCAATGCAATCATGCAGGGTGTGGCTTAAATAACAGAGGAGATTGTCTTCTTTCAGCCATTTGGAGAATCCCTTCAAAGCCCCCGTTCACAGGCCACCTCATCTGGAAAGCCTTCTCAGACCTCCCGGGCAGAGATGAATGCTCAGTGCTCCCACAGCATTAATTTCATTAAGCCCTCTTGGTATTTCTCACACAGCATTATAGTTTTGGGTTTACCTGTCCTTCTTCCTCCCTAAATTGTAAGCCCCTTGAGAACAAGCAGAGGCAGATCAACGGGCAGGCAACTGGAAAGCAGACAAGATGCCAATCTTTGAGGGATGCTAATTCATCCCTGGAAATGTAATTGAGCTGAAGGACATCCCACCTCTCAGAAGTGTCTTTGGTTCTGGTGTGGGTCAATTTAGTTAAGATTTGACTTGCTCAAGTCCTCGAAGGAGAGGCGTCCATCTCTATAGTGTCCACCCTTCTCATGTATAGCAGTATGCCTCTCTGAGGGACTATCCCTTTTCCTCTAAATCAGGCCTTCCCAATCTCAGCACAACTGGCACTTTTTTTTTTAAGATTTTATTTTATTTTAAGTAATCTCTACACCCAACGTGGGGCTCAAACCCACAACCCAGAGATCAAGAGACACACGCTCCACAGACTGAGCCAGCCAGGTGCCCCTACTGGCATTTTGATCCAGGTAATTCTTTGATGTGGGAGATAGTCCTGCTCGGTGTTGATGTCTACTAGCATTCCTGGCCTTTACCAACTATCCCCTATTTATGACTAGTAAATATGTATCCTGAATTGCCAAATTTCCCTTGGCAGCAGGGGAGGGAGGGACTTCCCAGCTGAGAATCACTGCTCTGAATAAAGAGTAAACCAATTTATTTACAGATTGTAGGCTTCCATAGGCTTAAATCTTTGGCCTGAGTTACCACATGCCTTGACCTACCACAAGCCAGTGACTATAGTATAACATTCATCTTTCTGTTTCCCCTGCAATTAGAAGCATCCTGGCCCATAGCAGGTGCCTACAAATGTCTTGTGAATGAATGAACCAATAAATAAGTAAATTGTGTGGAAGTAACTGTATTAATTAAAATACTGCCTGCAACACTACAGGAAGTCTTCTTCACAACAATAGCAGCTATTTCAATGGAGAACCTGCTGGAATACCAAGCTGACCGCCAGAGATGATAAACGAAGCCACTGAGTCAGGTACCTGGGAACACACGCAGCTATGGCCAAAATAAAACTGGGATTTGAATCAAGCATGCAGATCATTTAATCAGAGCTTCAAATAAGACAAAGGACAAACCAAAGTTTCCAGGAATTTCAAGAAAAATAAAATACGATTTTTAAAGAGGCTCACTACTTTGAGATGGTTAGGGTTTTCTTGTCTGGTTTAAAGTTCAGTTAGAAACAAATTCCCTATGCAAGGATGGCTCATTGTACCATAAAACATCACCTTCTTTGTGCCTGCTCAATGACTTATCAGTGAATTTGCCCAGAAGGGCTCTGATGCTGTTATGGGAACAAATGACATCAGTCTGCCTGGATATTTCAACTGCCAGAGATAACAACGGTGAGTAAAGCATCCCCAGTTCTGACTTAGAGTGCATAAAAAGAGCCGCTAAAGAAGTTCAAAAAGAGGTATCATGATTCAAGGTAAGCCTCTGCATTCATCCCACATCTGAAAAGTTTGGCAATTGTATATACCGTCCATTTACCTCTCAGAATTTTCCTACCAGACTCTCTAAAGCAAAGCCAACTACAAACAATATAAACCAAATTTTCTAATTCAGTGGTTCTCTACCTATTTGGAGTTCAGATTCTTTTGAGATTAACAAAAGTTACGAATAAATTCTTTTCCTCCAACAATTGCACATGTATGCATCCATACACCAAATCTGCATATACACATCAAATCTGCATGTACACACATAATTTGCACACTCATTTCATGTGGTTTAGGATTGCCAAGGCTTCTCATGGATTCCTGTTTATTTTTTTTTTAATTTTTTTTTTTAAGATTTTATTTATTTGCGAGAGAGAGAATGAGAGACAGAGAGCACGAGAGGGAAGAGGGCAGAGGGAGAAGCAGACCCCCCGCTGAGCAGGGAGCCCGATG